CAAGGAGATCCAACCAGTCCATCCTAAAGGAGATCAGTCCTGGGTGTTCATTGGAAGGACTGATGCTGAAGCTGAAACTCCAATACTTTGGCCACCTCATGCAAAGAGTTGACTCATTGGAAAAGACCCTGATGCTGGGAGGGATTGGGGGCAGGCGGAGAAGGGGATGACAGAGGTTGAGATGGTTGGATGGCATCACTGACTCTATGGACATGGGTTTGAGTAAAGTCCAGGAGTTGGTGATGGAAAGGGAGGCCTGGCATGCTGCGATTCATGGGGTCGCAAAGAGTCAGACACGACTGAGCGACTGAACTGAACTGAGTTAATCTATGCATTTATACATTCATCCATTCAGCTGACACAGAAGCTCCACTGTGGACCTGACAGTATGATAACTGATGGAGATATATATTCCATAGCAGTTTAGGGATCTCACAGTTGATTAGAATAGCAGACATCTAAACAAAGATTATAATACATTGTGATGTCTGCAATAATCCAGTCAATGTTCAAAATACAGAGGGGTAATAAAACAGGGATTAACTAACTGGAAGAGAACATCAGAGAATGCTTCCTGGAGATCATGATACATTAATCCCTGGGCTGAATTTGAAAGCCAACTAAAAGATTTGAATGGCTGAAGATATGGGAGAGATCTTGTAGGCAGGAGAGTGACTTATATAGATACTTGAAACAAGGTGATACCTAGGGAACTACGAACAATTCAGTGTTGTTGGAGAATAAAGAAGTGTGGTGGGAGATGGTCAGTTTGACAGTTAATGAGGGTGGCGTTAGATCAAAAGGGCCTGGTAGGTCATGATAACTACGCTGTGTCTTGGCTTCATTTTTGATAGTAAATCATTGCATTTTAGGCAGTAGAGAGGCACAATTAAACTTTCATTTTTGAGAGTTTGCTTTATTGTCATTGAAGAAAAAGGATTGAAAAGCTAGCAGAATGAAGGAAAGAGGATGGATCCAAGACCTATTTGGAGGGTAAAATTTAAGGAAGCCTTTAAGTGAGAGGTAAAGCAGATAGGGTCTCAGGTAATTCCTAGGTTTCCCATTTGTGAGTGTGATGCTAGCAGCTAAGACAGAGAATGAAGGAAGCTGAGCTATGTTGAGATTTTACAGGAACGGAGAGGCTGAAGATCATGAGTTATGTTTGATCATGTGTGAATAAGCATGTGAGTATATATGGAACTAAGGACTAGAAATGTAGTTTTGAGAATTGACAAGAGAATAAGAGGTTTTCTATGAGCCCCCAGACTAGCCATTTTGCTCTTATTAATTGCTTTCATAGCCCCCCATACTTCTTGGTAATATCACACTTGTAACTCTCTGTCTAATATGTCATCCTCTATTGGATTGTGGGGTCCTTGTTGAAAAGGATGTTACTTGTTTTGTTGACCCCCTCCTTTCCAGGGCCTAACACAGAGCCTGGCACATGAGAAATGAGTATATGGGCATGGATGTGAGTGCCCAGGGAAGGGGGCGTAGCAGGGATTTATGGCTCAGGGTTGCTGGGTACAGTCACTGGCTGTCACTGTTTGTGCTTCTTCCAGAAAGGAACCTTAAGAATTACTACCTTACAGGTGTGAATGGAGAAAAATATAGCAAAGGAAATGGAAGGAGGAGTCCTCTTAGGCTAGTATGAAGAAAATCGTGAAGGTCTTTATTAAGGAAGTTAAGGAGGGGAATGGTTAGCAGTTTCAGATACCCGGAGAATTCAAATCAAATATGAACTGATGAACTTATGAGCTAAAGTGAAAGAAAGTGAAGTCACTTAGTCGTGTCCGACTCTTCGTGACCCCATGGACTGTAGCCCACCAGGCTCCTCCGTCCATGGGATTCTCCAGGCAAGAGTACTGGAGTGGGGTGCCATTTCTTCCTCCAGGAGATCTTCCCGACCCAAGGACTGAACCCAGGTCTCCCGCATTGTAGGCAGACGCTTCACCATCTGAGCCACCAGGGAAGTTCTATGTCAGCATAAGGAAAGAAAAGTCATAGAATCAAAATAACTCAAGTCCTTTATAAGGGCTTGTTGGAAACCAAGAGATAATCTCTCAGTAAGTGCAGCGAAGCCATTTTCCCCCTAGTGCTGGAAGAGTTATCTATTCCTCTGTAAGTAGTTTCCTTGTATGTGGATTTCATGTTAAATAAAAAGTGTAATTCTTTAAATATTAGCATTGCACTCACTGTGGAGAGATGCTCGCAGTCTGAGAGGCGCACGGGCGCTAAGACCAGGTAAGGGAGGAGAAGACTGAGCGCGGTGTCAGGCAAGACTGCCCATGCTGTTTAAATTCTTTCTCTCTTGCTGTGTGCACATTTGCCACGTTGTTATCTTTGCATTTGGGTAAGTTAGGTACTCATATGGGGCACCGTCATTGTGCGTTCCAAAGAGGGAGAGAAGGAGAGGGAGGAAGGTGGAGAGAAGGAGAGGGAGGAAGATGGAGAGAAGGAGAGGGAGGAAGGTGGAGAGAACAGTGTGTTTCTAGTTTGTGGTTTGTCCTGTGTTGTTTCTTTAATGTGGGGGTTTCAAATTTTTCTTATCATATTGCCCAAAATCTTATCAGATACACATGTGTATGATATTTCATTGATTTAGAATTTTATATTTGTATCATGTTTTAGATTTTGCAAATTATCAGTCTATTTGTTGCTTAATGATGGAACAACTTCATTAGGTAGACAGGACAGGTTTTTTCCCCCCCTCTTTGGTTTGTTCTACAAAGATTCCAAGGTAAGCTACTTGTCCAGTATCATAATCCTGTGATCTTTTCATACCATATTGTTCATGCCAACAGTATACAAATTGTATGTGTATGTATTGTTTCAATGTAACTAATTTTATTTTAAGGAAACATGTACATGAATTGGAGAAAGATTTGGCTTCCTCTGGACATTTTGGTGTCTTTTGGCTATGCCTTTGTTCATTTAGGTATTCTTTTTTTAAATAATTTTAAAATTACCTATTTTTAAGGTATATTTTAGATATTCTTATTATCAAATAGGGCCTTTGAGAACTCTCTGAGAAGAAAGAATAGTTCATAAAATTATTATTATTTTGGAAATATATTGATGGAAAATTGATGGAAAATTTTTGATGGAAATTTTTTGATGGAAATTATCATATTATTTATGGAAATTATCATATTATTGATGGAAAATATCAAATCTGTGTGTAGTTTAAAAAAACTACCATCACCCTTCCCCCCAGAAGTGGAGCTCCTAATATATATTGTATGTTTTTTGAGTTACTGGTCATGAAATTGTTTAAGTGGGAGCATCAGCATTTGAAAACAATGAAATAGAATAGAAAATATCAGAATATATTACACATGATAGGTGTTTTGCTTCCTGATACTTTTGTTTCAGAAATATATATATATGCACATGTGTGTGGGCTTTCCTGGTGGCTCAGAGAGTAAAGAATCTGCCTGCAATACCGGAGACCCAGGTCTGATCCCTGGGTTGGAAAGATCCCCTGGAGAAAAAAGAATGGCAACCCACTCTAGTATTCTTGCCTGGAGAATTCCATGGACAGAGGAGCCTGTTGGGCTACAATCCATGGGGTCGCAAAGAGTCAGACATGATTTAGTGACTAACGCACTTACATATGTGTACTGAGGCATAGGTATAAAATGTATTTCTTACTGTGGGTCATGATCAATAAAGCTTGAAAACACTGGCTCAGAAAACTCATTCATTTTATCTTCTTCCAGCTTTTGTTACCTTATTGAATGGGGAACAAGCGCAGAATGCAATTCAGATGTTTCATCAATATTCTTTTCGAGGAAAAGACTTAGTAGTCCAGCTCCAGCCAACAGATGCTTTGCTATGTATTACCAACTTGCCCACTTCTTTTACATTAGAAGAGTTTGAAGAACTTGTTCGTGCTTATGGAAATGTTGAGAGATGTTTTCTTGTCTACAGTGAAGTCACTGGCCATTCCAAAGGCTATGGATTTGTAGAATACATGAAAAAGGACTTTGCTGCAAAGGCTCGATTGGAGCTATTGGGTAAACAGCTGGGAGCATCGGCTGTCTTTGCACAGTGGATGGATGTTAATCTATTGGCCGCAGAGCTCATTCATTCTAAGTGCCTTTGTATAGATAAACTCCCTAGTGACTATAGAGATTCAGAGGAGCTGTTGCAGGTTTTTTCCAGTATCCATAAACCTGTGTTTTGCCAGGTATGTATTTTTAAGATATTATTTGAAATATTTAAAACTATCTGCATGGACTCACATATTTATTATACCCATGTAAATATCAGCATGGATAATCTCATTCTACTTTAGTTTGTAATGAACACTTTAATATGATGGTAAATTTTAAATCAATTTCTTTTGTTGGTGGGCCAGACTGTGTTGTTTTTATATAATTATGTCTTAGCAAACCCAACACTTAATGCATCCACCTTCTCCTTTCATCTGTTCTTGAACCATTCATGCATTGATCACTTCATCCACCCACATTTGATTTGTCGCATTCTCGGTGCCAAGTACCATGCCACTAAATGTCAGAAATATAACAAATAGGAAGATATTCTCTCTATACCTCACAGTTTTGTAGAATACACTGACAGATAAGCAAATAACTATATATCCCGTATGAAGAGTGAGATAATGCAAAATTGAAAAGTGTTACATGGTGTAGAAAGAATGCTTTATTCTGTCTTAATGGGGTCATGGTAAGTGAGACATTTAGAGAAGATCCTGAAAACTGACAATGTTGGTAAGAATTTTCAAGCACTTTATCAGAATAAAATTGAATAAATTCTACCAAATAGACAAAAATATATACTGTATGTGGCTCCTTCCTATACAGGTTTTTTTTTTTTTTCCTATACAGGTTTTTATAGCACCTGATGAAACCTTTCTCTTTCACTTCCCTTCATTTCTTCCTTTCTTCTCTCTTCCTTTGCTCCTTCTTATCTCCCGTCTTTCCTCTGCTCACCCTTATTTTTCTATTATCATACATGTATTGAATCTCTACTCTTGCAGTAGGAAATTTGAAATTTATTATAGTTTATTTCATTAAAATTAATGCTGCCATCTTACTTTTCCTTACATTTCTGCCCCTCCAGTCCCAATATAATCATCAAAGAAACTATCCATGGAGCTTCAAAAAATTAGAATACTTTGTAACAAATCTTTGCCAAGTTATTGAAAGTTGTCTTATTGATATGCTATTCTTGAATACTAAAAATTGTATAGTGGTATCCTGTAGCCAAGCATAATCCTTTGTAGCTTTAATTGAGGCCTTTGAAGCAAATATGAGGGGAAAGCTGTTTTTTACATACTATATTTGAATTATGAATCTTGGAGTTAGAAGGGACTTAGGCTATCTGGTCTTGTTTTCCATCTGGTTAAAAAAGAAAAAGGTTTGTTACAATCATTGTAAGTGATCATTAGCTTTTGTTAAAGTATTTTTAAGTAATGGAAAATTAACTATTAATAGATCACAAGTCATGCCATTACATATTTGAATGGCTCTCATATTGAATGGAAATATTGCTCTTTAAAATTACCAATGCTATGAAACTAAAATGATATTTTTTTTAAAAGACTTAAAATGATAGTATAATTTATTTGGCATGAAGATTATATAATAAACTAAGAATAATAAAAATATTTTAGAAATTTTCAAAAGCTTAATACAGCCACTTTGAATGCCTTTATCAGTAAGTCTGTTAAACTCCGGCTCTCCGGTTTGGTGGGTTGACATAGACTATATGGAAGACACAGTCTTCTTCCCTTGTGATCAGAAGGGGCCAAAGGGACTAGTGACTTTTACAAATCTAAATTCAAGATTTGGTTTGAATAAAAGGAATGAGGTTGTAGGAGAAATATTTGGAAAGGTAGATATTTTCCCTTTCTTCCACATGAATGGAAGAAGTTTTATGGAGGAAAAGACATTTGTGGATAGTTTTAAAAGGAAGAAAGGATGAGAAAGGGAAAAAAACAGAAATTTGGTCTACTATACAAAAAAGCTTCAAAAATAGGAGAAAAGCTAAAAAATGACTAAGAAATGATTGAATTGTATACCAATTTATGAGATGCCAAGTCCAAACAGAAGTTTTGTAGATATTTCTATTGGACTATTTCTATACTTCAGAGACATACAAAGCTAAATTTTATCACATTTATCACTGGATACGAATGTGTTTAAGATGATTCAGATATGTTCAACACTTAGAAACTTTTTAGTATTGTATTTTTTTTCTTACTTTTGCTCTCTGTACCAGTCTTTATGGATCCAGGGCTTTAGTATCTTCCTTTACACTCTTACACATGGGTGACTGGAAATAAATTGAGTTCTGCTTTGCAGGAGTTTGTTTAGGGCACACTCAGGAAAAGGTTGTGTCCTGCATATGGTATTTTAAACAAACCTGGGGCAGTTTCCTAAATAAGGCTTACTTTGGTATTCTTGCCCAAATTCCTGGGATACCTAAAATATTGAAATAAAAGTTGAATATGGTTCCTTCTACTTTTGTTCTCTTGATAATGCAAATAGATACATGATCAAATTCAACAGGTTTCATCATCTGTGTATCTGGTGAATTTATTTTAAAGAAAGTTCAATTGTTGTGTCCCCAAATTTTTCTATTGATTATTAATTATATATATATTCGTATATAGGAACTGTAATCATTTGAACACTGACTTTTAAAATAAATCAGAGATTCAAAGAAGCAGAAAGAAGCTTGACAGAATCTTACTTATCTTCCCATCTTCTAGAAAGACTGTACCTACCCAACTAATAAATTTTTATTTTCGGGAAAAAAGGGAATACAATATTTTCACCAGTAGCATGCTTTGAGACATTTGTCCTTGAATTTACATATGATTTACTTGTAAATAAAGAATTCTAACTAAGTATTAGAATTCCCTTTTTAATAATCGTATCACATCAGCTTGCACAGGATGAAGGTAGTTATGTTGGTGGCTTTGCAGTGGTTGAATATAGCACTGCAGAGCATGCTGAAGAGGTTCAACAAGCAGCCGATGGCATGACCATCAAGGGAAGCAAAGTTCACGTTTCCTTCTGTGCCCCAGGAGCACCAGGGCGAAGTACTTTAGCAGCACTGATAGCAGCTCAACGTGTGGTAAGTTCTTTTTCAAGAACATAGAAGAATTCAAGTATCCAAACTAGTTAATCATTGATTGGACTTTTATTAAATTTTTATTACATGAAGATATTCTTTTTTTTTTAAATTGACTAAATAATACTTCTGCCAAATCAAGCCAGGAGTCAGTACAATAGAGGAAACTGTGTTTCATAAAGTGTATTCATCTCAAGAATTGAGGAAATTTTTTTATTTATTCAGTAAATGTTTGAGTTCCTGTTCTGTAAGTTTTGATTGCAGCATGCCCCCTTTTGCAAAAAGTGTTCATAAGTGTGCATTTTGGACTGACTTCTTTATTGTGACTGTCTCTTATTACTCCCCTCTCTACTTCTCTGGTTGAAAATTCCTTGTAGGGAGCAACTATTCCTGCTTCACAGTTTCTTACTCCTTGCACCTAGAATAGTAAAAACCCATTGATCAAATGAAGGAAGCAACACACTTTTGAAGGGTCCAGGGAAGACTTCAGAATTGCGAAGGTGACATTTGAATGTAACGTTAAGTTACAATTTTGGAATGTTGATGGGGGTGGAGAATAGGATTGCCAGATGAATACAGATTTTGCATGAGACGTACTTACATTAAACATTATCCATTGTTATCTGGCACCCTGTGTTTTTACTTCCTGAGTCTGGCACCCCCAAGGAGGGAGAATGAGTGATTGAACATACTCTGGTTGTGACAAAACGTTTCCAGCAGTAGGAGGAGAAGAATTTTCATGTTTGAAAAGTGGAAAAGGTCTAGGCAGGCTGAGTGTGTAGAGATGAGTGGTGAAATGATAGCTTGATGGCAGCACAGGAGGAGGGCCGGAGCACTCACAGCATAGGTGGAACTTGATAAGCGAGGCCAAGCTTACAAATTCCAAAGGGAATTTATAAAGCATATATACAAGGTATTGACAGGATCGTAGTTAAGAAATCACCTAGTCTGGAAATGGTTGTAAATGAAGTGGAGAGAGAAGGACTATCGAGGAGGGAAGGAGTGCAGAAGAGATGACAGGCTGTCAGTGGTATCCTGCTGTCGTTTCACTCGCCCTCTTCCTCTTATTCTTTGATCTCACCTCTGGTCCTGGATGTCTTCTCCCTTTTTCTTGGTTTTTCCTTCCCTTCTTAGGTTCTTCTGTCGTCCTCATGTCCTTGACTGGCATAATCCATGACTACAGCCATTCTTTCACTGTCAATTTCATTGCCTGTAGTCAAGCTGTCTCTTGGTTGGATTGGATTTGCTGAGTTTCTGAGTCTGAATCCATCCAGTCACGCACTTTTGCAGTCAGCATACTCTGTCTTCTTGGAGAAAAACAGACAACTAGGTGACTTAGTGCTCCTGCAAATGTCTGACATTCTTTATAGCTGACTCCCCAGCAAAACTAGTTCAAATCTTCACTTTTCTAGTCTTTGTCCTTCTTTCTATCTGATGGTCGTGGCTGCTACTTTATAGAAATATACAGGCCATGTGCTGGACTCATGCATTTACTTTCTCTCACACTCCCTGAGCAAAAGTGCTCCACTTTTTGCTTCTTTTTCCTCTTTAATAGCATTCATTCCATAAATACTTACTGGGTACCTGCTACATACGAGATGTATTAGAGATATTTAGGATTCACCAGTGAACAAAGGTCTGTCTAGTCAAAGCTGTGGTTTTTCCAATAGTCATGTATGGATGTGAGAGTTGGACTATAAAGAAAGCTGAGCACAGAAAAATTGATGCTTTTGAACTGTGGGGTTGGAGAAGACTCGAGAGTCCCTTGGACTGCAAGGAGATCCAACCAGTCCATCCTGATGGAAATCAGTCCTGAGTATTCATTGAAAGGACTGATACTGAGGCTGAAACTCCAACTCTTTGGCCACCTGATGTGAAGAACTGACTCATTGGAAAAGACCCTGATGCTGAGAACGATTGAAGGCAGGAAGAGAAGGGGACGGTAGAGGATGAGTTGGTTGGATGGCATCACTGACTCAATGACCATGAGCTTGAGTAAACTCCGGGAGCTGGTGATGGACAGGGAAGCCTGACATGCTGCAGTCCGTGGGATCGCAAAGGGTTGGAAATGACTGAGCGACTGAACTGAGTGAACAAAACAAAGATCCTTGCTGTCATGGAGGGAGTGCTCTGTTTCCCTCCCACCAAAGCAGGGACTCACACCCCCGCCCCATCCTCAAGGATCTGCCTCCCCTACTTTCTGCTTGACCTTTTGTTCACTGCCTCCGTCCCATTTGCTTATAAACACACTCAAACCTTTTCCTCTCTAGATGCAGGCCTTTGTAATACCTCTTCCTCACAACTGGAGCTTCTTGAACAATTAGATCCTACTAGTCACCTTTTTTTTTTTTTTCCATTTCTCATTTCCTTCTCAGCCCAATGCAGTGTAGTTTCTGCTCCCACTATTAAGTGAATCTGTTCTCTTTAAGATTTACAGGAATTTTGTAATCAAGTCACATAGGTACTTCTCAGTCTTTCTTTGCTTGGTTTCTTTGCAGTGTTTAAAACCAACTGCCTACTGCCTTGAATTCCACCTATCATTCTTTTCCTCTCTAATTGTTCCATCCTTTTCTTCTTTTTCCCAGAGGGATGCTATGAGTAGACCTCTGTACTAGGCTTCTTCACTTTCTTCCTCTTCATCACTCCAGTGGCTTCAGTTATTGCATATCAGTGATGATTTCCAATCTTATATTTTTGAACCAAATTGTTCTAAAGCACTAAATTTATATTTTAAAATGATTATTAGACATCCCCTTTTTGTGTTATATGAATAATTCAATTTCAGCATTTCCAAAAGGAAACTGTTCTTCCCTGGGACTTGCTTTTCTATGTGCTATAATATCTATGTGTGACATCAGTTCATTCAAACTGAAACTGTCTGAATTAAAAACTCAATCATGATTGATCTTCATCTACTCTTCAGTTCGGAATGCCAAGAATCTTAGCAAGTCTTTCAGTTCCACATCCTGATGTCTATTAAATCCTTGAGACTTGTCAGCATCTTTGTTACTTTACTCAGGATCTAATTTTTCTCAACTTGATGATTTGAATAACCTGCTATATGATTGCCATGTCATTAGTCTTCCCTATTCTAATCCGTCTTCTACAGTGCCACAAAAGTGATCTTTCTCATCCTCAAATCAAATTATGTCATTCTCTTGCTTAATATTCTTTAATGTGTGCATAAGTTCAGTTCCTTACCATAGTAAACAGCCCTTCATGGGGCCTTTAATAGATATCATGATTAGATATTAGTAACAGTGAGAAATCCTAAAGTTTTCTCAGCCTTAAAAGTAATGTACTGCATTGATTTTTTTTCTTATGGGTTCTTGGTACGTATCTTCTATCAAGTTTTCTGTTTAAAAAAGATCATAAATTGGCACTGAACTTTATCAGAATATTTCTACAACTATTGGGATAATTATGTGATTTCTCCCTAAGTTCATTAATGGGCTGAATCTCTTCTCTGTATCTGTGGTTTTGGTTTATTTTTGTTTTGAGATTCTACATATAAGTGAGATCATACACTATTAGGCTTTCTCTGTCTGACTTATTTCCCTTAGCATAATGCCCTCCAAGTTCATCCATTTTGTTACAAATGACAAGATTTCCTTCTTTTTGTGGCTGAATAGTACTCCATTGTCTATATACATATACATGCCGCATTTTCACCAGGGCTTCCCTGGTGGCTGAGGTGGTAAAGAATCTGCCTGCAGTGCAGGAGACCTGGGTTCAATCCCTGGGTTGGGAAGACCCATTGGAGAAGGAAATGCAACCCACCCCAGTGTCCATGCCTGGAAAGTTCCATGGATGAAGGAGCCTGGCAGATTATAGTCCATGGGGTTGCAAAGAGTTGGACATGACTGAGCGACTTCACTTTGACCACATTTTCTTTATCCATTCATCAATTTTTAGGACACTTATGCTGTTTTCATGTCTTGATTATTGTAAATAATGCAACAATGAATATGGGGGTCCATATATCTTTTTGAGTTATGGTTTTTTGTTTCTTTGGTTAAATACCTAGAAGTTGACTTGCTGGGTCATATGGTAATTCTGTTTTTAATTTTTTGAGGAACCTCTGTTCTATTTGCTAACACTTGTCATGTTGTCTTTAAACCTTTTTCCTTTATTTTTGTTTCCCATTTACTATTTTTTTTTCCATTTATTAGTTGGAGGCTAATTACTTTACATCATTGCAGTAGTTTTTGTCATACATTGAAATGAATTAGCCATGGATTTACATGTATTCCCCATCCCGGTCCCCCCTCCCACCTCCCTCTCCACCCGATCCCTCTGGGTCTTCCCAGTGCACCAGGCCTGAGCACTTGTCTCAT